TATTTTACCACACACAATAACTGTAAATCTAAATTGACAAAAATGATGTGGTACCAAAAAATAAAAGAATATAGGGATGATGCAACCACAATCAAACTAACTCACTAGCATGACCTTTTATATGAAGATAGATATTTCAAAAATGAAAAAGAAATTATTTTCAAGCAAATATAGATGGGTTAATCAGTAAGAAATTAGATAATCTTTACAAAATGAGTGTTCTTTCATCCAACACATACAAATTGGTTTCGGAAAGAATAATGGGGAGATAAATACAAAACAAAATAAAATTTATAGAAAACTAGAATATTTTACTTGATGTATAAATGAAAGGCCTTTTAATGATGAAACACCATGAAATACAAAACATCAGTGAAGTGATACAGAAAATATGCAAATAGATGCTACTGAATGGAATAATAACCCAAAACTGTACAAAGTGTAGAAGCAAAAATACTTGTTTGCTTTCCATTAAGTTTGTAATTTCTGCCTTTAACTAAGTGATAATTCAGAGAAAGAAAGATACAGATAATAAACATATAAAAATATTCTAAATAATAGTTTGAGCTAGCAAGTTGTCAAGTTTTAAATAATTATACATTTGCTTTAATGCAGAATTTGAGGGAATTGTATCTTCCATACGGTTGAGAGAATCTGACTGAGAAAAACTTCGAAATACACTCCCTTGATTGTTTTCAAAGATATTATCCTTTTCTATCCTCAAATTCCACAACAGAAAACTAGTCCAGGGTACTTGCCATAGGCTACATCATAAGAAGAATTCAGAAATGATAGAAAGCTCTCAAGATTTATTTTTATAAATGACTCAGAGAACAGAATAAATCTCTCTTCATGATTTTACAATTTAACAGCATAAAGGTTTGGAGGGGGAAAAATGTCTGGTATAATATATACCAAATATTCCAAATGTTACCTCTGAGGAAGATAAAGCAATGGTAGGTGGTAGATGTGGTGAAGTTAAGTCTTAACACTTTTTCTTTGTTGGTCTAAATAATTTATCATTAGAAGGTACAAGTACATGCCTTTTGTTTTGCTTGTTGCTATTCTCAATTTTTGGGACATGTTTACTCTGTATCCCAGGTTGGCCTGGAACTCATAGCAATCCTCCTGCTTCAACCTCTCGAGTTCTGAGATTACAACCATGCAACACAACACTGGCTCTATATTTACACAGCTAAAAATGACCCAAACTTAGTAATAGATTTTAGTTGATTTCACCAAAATAGTGACATGGAAGTCTCTAGCCTGGAAAAGTTATGATTACACAAATATTAGCATAATTCTGTACTAGACATTAAATGAAGTGACTGTCACGACCAAGATGACATCAAGCACTCTCCTCTGAATTATGAAGAACTATCAGGAAGTGGAAACATAATTTGGACCAAGAAGCCATCTTTAGCTTCCATGGAAGGATGGACAAGCCTATGCTCAAGGCCAGAGACTAAATATTTCTTCTTATTGGTTTTCTGTTTAAGTGAAGAATAATCCAAAGAGATAAGGAGGATGTTATAGATAGGAATTCCGTAAAGTAGACAACTTCACTTGGCCTTGAACTTATGAACTGTGTTGTATCATTGTTGGATATTCAACACCCACCTTCCCTATACATATACACTTAGAATCCATACATCCACAACTATGTGACCTAATAATCTCTCTTAATACCCAAGTCTCTACCTGGAAATAGCCATGGCAAGTGCAATCATTGGATGCAATCACTAAGATTAAGAGGTCATTAACCTCAGCCATGTTTGTAACTTGCTTGTGTTTGATGAAAATGTGCTCTTTCTCATTTCTTATTTACAAAGAGGCCAAGGAATACCCAACTAACCCTTGTGCTTAAAAGACATTTATAAGCCGGGCGGTGGTGGCGCACGCCTTTAATCCCAGCACTCGGGAGGCAGAGCCAGGCGGATCTCTGTGAGTTCGAGGCCAGCCTGGGCTACCAAGTGAGTTCCAGGAAAGGTGCAAAGCTACACAGAGAAACCCTGTCTCGAAAAAAAAAAAAAGACATTTATATAAACAGAATTTTCAAAAGATGGAATATTTATTTGAATATACAAAATATAAGTAATACTTAAGTCCAAGTATATAGAGTGCATTTGCAGAAATATAACTTATTTTCTATTTATTGACTTTCAATAGTAATGAAACAATTTGTAAACAGTAAAACAGACTGTAAATATGAAGTCAATGATACTTCAGGGTTTTTTCATCTTTTTCATAAGTAATAATAAGATTACATAATTCAAAGTTTTAAGATATTCAGAAATATACTTTTCTGGTCATTATTTCCTATATAACTGTTTATATAGTATTGTATTAGATACTAAGTAATTAAGAATTTAGAGATTATTTAACAATGTGCAAGGTATATATAAGTAGTATGTCACTTTACAAAGACTATGGACATCCAGATTCTGGTGTCTGTGGAGGGTCCTAAAGGAACTCTGCCATTAAAGGGAGAGATGCCTATATTTTATGAAAACAGAGAGATGTCTGCACATACTGCATATTTAATAATGGTTGCTAGTACTAGGGTTTTTGTTGTGGTTTTTTTCTTTTAACACTTTGTGTTCAACATTTCCCTCTATTTTTCTGCTTCTATCTCAATGAAGTATTACTGTAATCATCAGCATATTCTCTAATGCTTTAGTAAACATGATTTAGTGAACTCTAAAGTTTTGTGTAAATACAATTTTTGTAAACCTAATATTTTCTTCAAGGTCTTCATGGTTTTCAGCAGAGCAAACTACATATCATAGCCATTATCTTCATATATCACTCTCTCCATAGGTCTTTGTCCATCTCCACTGCTCTAAGTGTTCCATACTAAGATGGTGTAACAACATGGAAGAGCCCTCGCTTACCTTTGCTCAGTTAATGGCTTATTCTAATACTAATTAACTAATGGTTTTTAAATTTTTATTTGTTATTGTTATTTGTTTGTTTGTGGGTGAGGTGAGGTGTTTGTGTCAGTTCAGGTGGACATAGACCATGGCATTCCCGTGTGGAGGGCAGAGGGCAATTTCACAATTCAGTTTTCTTTCTCCACTGTAAGTTCTGAGGATCAAACTCAGGTAACCAGGCTTCTGTGGCAAGCTTTTGTTACCCAGTGAGTTTTAATGAGTCTGATCTTTATAGAAACTTCCTTATAGAAACTCATCCTGGAGTATTCTCAGTGAGTAGCAGGGTTCTGTCTGCAGCATAGCTTGCCACCCCATGGCGTGCCAAAAAGAAAGGCAATTACTGTTTGCCCTGGGCTCCTTTGTGGTGACAACTAAGGGGAAGGTCAGAGTTGGTTGCTTTTTGTATTATGTGTCAATAGAACAGTATCTTGAATTTGTCCTGTAAATTTCCTTTTGGACATTACTTGTTTACACACACACATACACTCTCTCTCTCTCTCTCTCTCTCTCTCTCTCTCTCTCTCTCTCTCTCTCTCTCTCTCACACACACACACACACACACACACACACACACACACACATACACACACAGCAGCAGCAGCAACAACAACAACAATCTCCTTAGTTGGTTGAAGAACTGAAATTTTATAATTATCAGGTGCTCTGCATGTAAGCTCATCCGTTTTGACGGATTAGAATGCCACAGAGAATGGAGTATTTTTTTTTCACTTTTATTAATTTTTTTTCTTTCCTTTCACATACCAACCCCCATTCCTCCTCCCTCCTTTTTTCCTGCTTCCCCTGTACCTGTATCCCACCCCTATCCCCTCCTCATAGAGGATAAGCCTCCCTTGGGTAGTCAACACAGGATGTCATGCCATGTTGGGAATGGGCCTAGCCCCTCCACTCAGCATCAAGGCTGAGTAAGGCATCAAACCATAGGGAATGTGCTCTAAAAGGCCAGTTCACGTACCCAGGATAAGTCCTGGTCCCAGAGAATGGGGGCATTTTTTTAACATATGTAAGAGAATTGAGATTTGATTGAGCACATAAACTATAAAAGCAGGCTGGGTGGTGGTGGTGCACACCTTTAATCCCAGCACTAGGGAGGCAGAGGCAGGCGGATCTCTGTGAGCTCGAGGCCAGCCTGGGCTACAGAATGAGTTCCAGGAAAGGCACAAAGCTACACAGAGAAACCCTGTTTTTGGGGAAAAAAAAAACCCTATAAAAGCAGTTTCAGATCTCATGAATGAACGAAACCTATTACTAACCCAAGTCTTGTGTTCACGTGTACACAAACATAAGTAACTAGATTCACACAAATAGGGAAAATGTAGCAAACTATGTTAAATTAAAATAGAGACAGATCTGCATATCCCAATCTGAAGCTTGTAAAAATAGATTATTAACTAAAAAAACTGCCTAAATATGAAAAAGTGCAAAGCATTAAAGGATGGGGTCCATTTTACTATTCTGTATCCAAATTTAGCAAATATCTCAATAAACATTCTTTCATTTGATAACCAATGAGGAAAATAACTCATTTTAACATTATAAATCGAATTATAAAAGTAACTTAATATTATTATAATTAAATCAATCACAATCTTTTGAAAAAATGATTGATATGCTGTAAAACATTTGTTTCTGTCTTGCAGCATAAACTTTTCATAGTGAGTAATATTCAAACTTACCTTTTAAATTAAAAAAATAGCCTAGTATTTGTGAGGAATAATATTGCTAATGCTTGAAGATGTTTTCTCTCAAAAGTTAGAATGTGGCCCAATGGTCATTGCATAGAGTTCATTAATGAAGAGATTACACAGATCTTGAGAGTGTTCAACTGAACTTGCAGTGTGATATTGATAAAGCTTCTGTCTTGGAAATATCCCATGGCTATTATTGATTTAGAGTTTGGGGCACTGAATACAATTCAGATACAAACAGAAATAGCATAAGAAATATATATATATATATATATATATATATATTAATACATAATATATAATTTAATGTGGAAATCTTACAGGCGTGTGTTTTCTTGTGGAGATCCAGAGTGAAACATACCTGGCCAGGCTGAAGGCATCATCGATCAAACCCGCACGGTTACTGACGGAAAGTACCTATGAGGCCAGTTAGAAAAAGAAAGGATGGGGGAGTGGTAATTCTGATCACTAAAGTGACAGGTGTTCACACTTCAAAACAGATTGTCGATACACAGATCAAGGATGTACCTCATGGTTCCTGATTAATTGATCAATCAGTAATCTCCAGTTCCTTAGGTCATAGTTGACTCTAAAGTAGCCAGTTTGATTGATGTTTCCAAGGATCCAGCTTCCTTTGTCCAAGTATGCTATTCTGTGATGTTCTGAAAGTAGTATTTGAGAGTAAGTAGATTTTTAAAGTTTTAGAGTTAAAATGCAATAAAGTAAGTCTTTCAAATACCAGAAACAGCATTACCAATAATTTAAAGAAAATGTCACCCTAAAATGTAATTGAAATCTAAACTTTAATTAATCCCTTCTATCTAAAATTGGATAGAAAGCTTTTATTTGGCTACTCATTATTACATCAATTAATGATTTTTTTATAATTAGCACATTTGTTCTGGGCAGAACTCTATTCTATACACAATTTTCATTCTTGAAATAAATGGTGTCTAGAATTACTCCACTATATTCATGTGGCTTTTAATTAGATTGTATGTATATATACAACTAGAACAAAAGAAATCTTTAGACATATATTTTATGTGTTTTATTCAGGATTAAAGTGATCAAAACAATGGTGCTCACTTATTTGAAAGTCATTGTTCTTTTTGGCTTTTATTTCCCATGTTTTCCTAGGAGTGCAAATAAATAGCAAGCTTTCCAAAACCACCAATAATGATAGAACAAGCGAGCCTCATTGTTCGAGATTCTAACAGTTCCACATAGAATTAGGAACAATAAGAATGCATCCTTTCTAATGGAATTAGGAAAGAGTAGAACTTGTGTTCATCAAGTAAGTCAATTAACAAAGGCCAAGAAAAATGTTATAACTTCTTACGTATTTAACTCTTTCAAATTTGGTGTGGAGTTATTTTCACTTGTGGAGAATTAGCTACCATATACTTCACTAAATAATTATCATTCACAATTGTAATAATTTCTCTGTTGAACTTGAGACTCATTCTTCATGGAATTTTCCCAGTGAAGTTGAATTAAAATTTGCATGCACACACAGACACAATTTGACAGATAGAAAACAACCAACAGAAAATAAAAACAAACAAGCGTGTTTTAACTTCTATGACTCAAAACCATAGAATTTTTAGTCAAGATTTTACAAATCAGAATCAACTATAATAAACAAAACATGCTTATAATCCTTTAAGAGAGGGAATGTATAAATACTCTCAAATAATGAGTACATAAGAAAATGTTTATGAGGTAGACTAATCCAATGTATATTACATGATAGCAACTTTCAAAAATCAGCCATAAAATGAAATGTAATAGAAATCAAATTTATGCTTTATACTGTACTTACACTCTAAATCTGCTGTGGTCATAGGATCTAGGGAGAACCTACTGATGTTTTGCTAAATGGACATGTTGTCAATATCTCTCTAAATACTTATACCCCTGAAGCTATGCTGCTCTCAGCTTTCATCAGAAAGTTTCTTTTAGTAGAGGATTTTAACAAGCAAAAGTAATTTAATAAATAGAATCTTTAAATAATCATTTCTGAATTGGGGGAAAATTAAATCTTAAGTGTTGAAGATCTTGTTTTCCCTAAGTAATCATGATTGCCTCTAAACATACCAAACTTAAAAAATTATTTCTTTTACTGTTTGGTATTAAAATATAATTACATCATTTCCCCTATCCTTTTCCTTCCTTTAAACCCTCTTATACACATCCTTTTGCTCTCTTTAAAATGCATGGCCTCCTTTACACTAAATGTAAATGTGCACACCTATAGATTCCTAAATACACAGCTATAACCAGCTCAGTCTGTATAATGTCACTTGAGTGTATGATTTCAGGGCTGATAATTTGTTATTAGAAATACAATTGGTGTGCTCTTCCCTGGGGAAGACTATTTCCCCTGCTCTCAGCATTTCATTTTGTAGTTGTTCATAATTCTTTGCTCCTTGTATCCCTAGTCTCTCCAGGACTTTTATCATGAAGGGGTGCTGGACTTGTGTCAGAGGTCTTTTCTGCATCTAATCAAATGATTATGTTTTTTTTTTGTCCTTCAGTCTGTTTTTATAGTGGATTACATATACCAATTTATGTATGTTGAACCATCCCTGCATGTCTAGGATGAAGCCAACTTGATCATGGTGGATGATCTTTTTGATTTGTTCTTGGATCCAGTTTGCAAGTATTTTATTGAGAAATTTTGCATATGTTTATAGACAAATTGGTGTGTAATTACCTTTGTTGAGTCTTTATATGGTTTAGGTATCAGGGTAACTGTGGCCTCATAAAATTAATTGGGCAATGTTCCTTATGTTTCTATTTTGTGGAATAATTTGAGTATTATTAGCATTAAATCTTCTTTGAAAGTGTGGTAGAATTCTGCACTAAAACCCTTTGGTCATGGGCTTTTTCGTGGATTTTTATCATTTCATTAGGAGTTATAGCTCAGTTTATCTGATCTTGATTTAACTTTGGTAAGTGGTATGTATTGAGAAAATGATTCACTTCTTTTAGACTTTCTAATTGGTGAACTATAGATTTTTAAAGTATGTTCTTATGATTTTCTAGATTTCCTCAGTGTCTTTTATGTCCTCCTTTTCAACTCTAATTTTGGTAATTTGAATATTCTCTCTCTTCTTTTAATTTGGATAAGGGTTGTCAATCTTAGCAATTTTTCAAAGAACCAACTCTTTGTTTCATTAATTTTTTGTATTGTTTGTTTATTTCTATTGTATTGATTTCAGTCATGAGTTTCATTATCTCCTGCCATCTATTCCATTTGGACATGATTTCTTTTTATTCTAGATCATTCAGGTGTGCTGTTACGTTACTCATATGAGATATTTATAAATTTTATATAGACACAGTGCTGTGAATTGCCTCTTGGAACCTCCTTCATTGTCTCCAAAAAGTTTGGGTATGCTATTGTTTCATATTCATTCAATTGTGGAACATCTTTTATTTCTTTCCTAATTTCTGACTTTACCCATTTTTCATTCAGTAGAGAGTTATCCAATTTCCATGAGTTTGTATGCTTTGTTGTTTCTGCTGTTGATACTCAGCTTTAATCCACGGTGGTCTGATAGGATGCAGGGAGTTATTTCAATTTTCTTATATCTGTTGAGACTTGCTTTTTGTACAAGTATGTGGCCAATCTTGGAAAAAGTTCCATGAACTGCTAAAACGAAGGTATATTCTTTTGCTTTGTGGTGAAATGTTCTATACATATATGTTAAGTCCATTTGGTTTATGATTTAAGTCATTTTTAACATTTTTCTGTTTAGTTTTTATCTAGATGACCTGTCTATTAGTAAGTGTAGGGTACTAAAGTCACCCACTATCACTAAGTGAATGCCAATGTGTGAATAAAGCTGTAGTCTTGTTTCTTTTATGAAGTTTGGTGCTCTTGTGCTTCGTGCATAGATGTTAAGAATTGAAATGTCAGCTTGGTAGATTTTTCCTTTGATATAACTATATTAAATATATTATATGTAATGGATGTGAATAAAATGAACCCACAACATACCCAAACTTAAGTGAGACAATGAAGGCAGTTCTAAGAGGCAATTCATAGCACTACTTGCCGACATTGCTTTTTGGAACCTGTTCCCTATGGTGGGATGCCTCGCTCAGCCTTGATGGAGGGAGGTGGGGAGCTTGGTACTACCTCGACTTGATATGCCATGCTTTATTGGGTAATTTTATTTTTAAGGTTTATTTATTTTTAACTGTATATGTATGTGTGGTGTGTGTGTGTGTGTGTGTGTGTGTGTGTGTGTGTGTGTGTGTGTGTGTATGCAAAGGTACATTCACATGATTACAGATACATGCAGACACCAGAAGACACTGGATCCCATGAAGGTGGAGTTACAGGATTATGTGAGCCACCCAATATGGCTTCTGAGAATCAAACTTGAGTCTTCTGTAAGAGCAGTATGTGCTTTTAACCTCCAAGACATTTTTCAGACACATTTATTTAGATAATTTTCATTAGTGGTTTTTCTGGTTAAGCTGTAGAATGAAGCTTAATATATGTGCAAATGACATACATTTTACAAACATCAAATGATAACGTAACCTTACAATATTAAATTCATTTTTCAAAGTTGTTTCTTATTTACAAATTGGATAATGACATGCATAAATTCCATGTAATTCAATTTGTCCTGATTTGTAATTATTCTATTAACAATCTTATAGGTAGATTACAGTCAAGTGAGTGTGTACATTAAAACATGAAAATAATCTCTGTTATCTTCTTTATTGCCTGACTAAAATCAGAAAGATAGGCATCAAATGTTTCAGACCATTCTATTATTAAACTTATAACTAAAACCTGAAGTTGTTACTATTTATGAATATTTGTATGGCTTTATTACAAATGAGATCTTTGGGAAACAATTCCCAGGAAGATTTTGTAATAGATTTTAAAAAGTCGTTTCAGTACTAGTTAATTACATTTCCAAAATGTTCTGCAAATTAACTAATAGCAGGCAATGAATTTTAAAAAGATCTTTCTGATGGCCTAATGATGTATAGTGTTTGATGAGTTCTGTAGCAAGAAGTATGGAAGTTATATTTCTTTTTTTTTTTTTTTTTTTTTTTGGTTTTTCGAGACAGGGTTTCTCTGTGTAGCTTTGCGCCTGTCCTGGAACTCACTTGGTAGCCCAGGCTGGCCTCGAACTCACAGAGATCCGCCTGGCTCTGCCTCCCGAGTGCTGGGATTAAAGGCGTGCGCCACCACCGCCCGGCTTATATTTCAAGTGTACATACTAATAATTGAAAATCTTATATATGTCCAAACTGGCACAAGACTCAGACTATATCAAGGCATACAGGAATTGGTATTTTCTTATATATTTTACTTTATAGTAACTGTGGAAATGATAGTTAAGCATTTGTAGTCAATATGCTACTTGTAGAAATTATAATTAAAAGTAATATAAGTAGAAACATCAGTTGGAATAGCATGTATGATTATACAGGAGAAACCAATCCAGAAATATAACATATAACGATGTTTTTTCACTAGAGGCTTGTAACAATCCAATGAAACAATGTCTGGTGAGCCCCATAAATCCCCATATACAAGTTTCCAAAACACTGTTGAGTAACTAATAGAGCTGCAAAGCAACCTATTATAAAAGTGTGTGTCCAGGGGTTGGCTAAACAGTCGGCA